TCGGGGAACGGACTCGTAGGAACCAACTTAAAGGCAAAGTTCGGGCTCAGACCCACCTAAGAAGCCCTTACCATGGCTAGAAGTGCTGGGTACGCAAGTGCAAAGGTAGCGCCACCTTTCTACATCGAAACGCGTCACTAGGACCCTAGGCGCCATGGACTTCTAACAGACTCCACCAAACTTAACATGGTCCGCCCACCGTTCGATATCTTGTCTGCGTCGCCACGTTGATCTGCTATGCTCTCTCTTCTCGGACTTCTCTACCACTCTCCGCGCTCACATTATCATCTCCCTGCCTGTCTTTTGAACTTCTCCACAGCATGGAGCAAAATGCTCGTATTTCCTGTGTATTTCAGGATTTTCTTTCCTTTTTTCTCCACTGGCGGTCCACCTCCCACCCCTACTTTCACATTTGAGTGGAATCACCCCATCAATTTATCCTGAATTTTGCCTTCAAGCTCGATTTTGCACTCCAACGGTCCACTTGAAAGTTTTGACTTCCTTCATTTCATTACTGATCACGTCCTATACTGGAGCAATACACACTTGTAAAGTCCTAGCTACCGTAGTTGGAGAGGGCCACGCCGCGGTGCGAGGCTCTCCTCACCCACTCCTTCAAGGTCTAGTATTAGGGGCCGTCACTATTTCGCTGCCACGTGGCAGTTTCGAAATACAGCGGCAACGCAGACTAAGCCCTGAAAAAGCAGACGAAGAGAGCGCTGCTCCGTCGCGCGGTCCTCTCCATATATGCTAGCACCAATTTCCTACTCCCCAGCGCGAGGATTTCATCTACACGTAGTGAAATATTTCACTTCTCGCACTATTGGTTGCATAGATTATGTGCCATCCTCGTTACTGTTCGAGTGAATGTCAGCGACGTTCTCGCCTTTCCTTGCTCTTGCCGCAACTGTGACGTTACCAGCACGCGCTCTGTGCCACCGGTAAGTTTTTCTGTCTCCCCAATCTCCCTCGTACTCGTAGGTGGCCGGTTCAGCGAGGACAACGTCCCACATTTCCACATTTTTATATGGCCTGCACCCGTACCGGCGCATTAATTAATTACTGTGAGCTAGGAGATTCGCAGTTCTCGCGGGCATGGTGCAAAGCAGGATAAAGTGATTGAGGCAGCACTCATTCGCAACACTCCCCGCCGTCACAACACCATATTTTGGCGGCGCAAGTGGCGCGGTTGCTTCGAACGCACGCACATCAAACTAATGCAAAGGAAAGGATTGAAACACTGAAGCCTTTCTCAGTCCTGTGCCACGATCTATCTATACACGATTGCATATTCAAGTACAGGAAAAAGAATTTCATGAATATATGGGAGCTCTCACTGGAGCGGTGAAATCGTTCTTAAAACCTTAACTATGCAATCAAACATACCTGTTCCTGAACGGCTTGCACATAAGGTAAATGGAGGTTTTCCCCTCTCATAGGAGTAATGAAATTTGGTGCTAATTTCCAACGCAGGTTCGGCATAAAAGCAACTATACCGATCAATTCGAAAGTCCATATCTTATAAATCTAATCTTATCTTTGAAGACTTGACTTAATGCGTTTAGTGTAGATACGTCACAAGTATCGGAAAATTGTCGTTCATTCTATCAGAGGCGGACCTATCATGCAACAAATTACGGTCAAAATTGTTGTCAAGAGTGTGCCCTACACACTGTGGTTCCACGATTCACACAAAAGTCTCATCCTACTCCCCTTCGAAACGTGCTGAATACTCACGGTTGCATATCAAAAGAGTCCTGTTGCTCCTCCTGTGAATGAGCTAGAAAAGTTAAGCACATAAATACCTTATATAAATGTAAGTGAAGTTCTAATCAGAAACTTGTGAATCCTGCATAAAGTACAGAACACAAGATATTAAGGTAACCTTGCACGAATTCTATTATTACACCGGATGGTTCTTGAAGAACTGTAAAGCTGTGTAGCAACTATAGAAGAAAAAGAAGTTCGATTGATGAAAAACAAAGGAAAAAGCATGTTTCGCAGAATGGGTAGGAAGATAGAAGGCGGAATAGAAAGCGACTGATGCAGCTGACTGGTGATTGTGGAAGTGGTGCGGTATGCTGATGATTCACGGCGATGAAGACAAGTTCACAGCGCTTTCGTTTCGATGACTACTTAGACAAATCACGGTTAAATAAGAACAAGTAGAGCAATTCTCTGTGTTTCCAGCATTTTTTTGCTCGTTGTGATGGCATTTATAGTACGCAATGAATTTCCATCAGAGGGTGTATGGCTTCAAATATGTTGTTCGTTATTGACGACACGGGTTGTAATGAATACTGGCGGTATGTGTATACTCGATACCCGTATACTCGGTATACTCGGTATGTGTATATTTAAGAGTTGGGGTAGGCGTGTCACCGGAAGTGACGTGCACTTGATAGAAGCTATGTGGATAAGCTGCTTCCAACATACATCGCTGGATATCAGCAAAGCATGCTGGCAACAGCTTATCCACGCAACTTCTATCAAGTGCACGTCACTTCCGGTGACACGCCTACCCCAACTTTCGGATATCGACTGTATTTATTTGGTACACTCGCGAAGTAGGCTCGTTTTTATTACTTCCACTGTAGACCGCAAGAAATCATTTTCCTGAAGCCTCAACTCCAATTGCGATGCACGGAACCCATGAGCATTTCTGGGGTGGATCGTTTTGTTGATGTTGTTTAGTTTATTCTCGTTTTCTCAATGCTTTTCCTTCACGACCTCTATTAAAGAGTTAGCACACATTGGTAAGAAGTAATGGGCAAGCAGTACGCAAGTACCGACGACATTATAGAGTATGACAACGATACCGCTGATGACGAACGGTAGCAAACAAGGCTCATCAATTACTGATCATTATTGCTATGATATTCACAGCAACATTATCACAATGGCACTGTTGACAGCGGTTGATACAGAGTCAGTCGCTCTCGTTTAGCTACTCTCCAGAGCGAACTATTAGATATACTCATGTATATATCTGCATATCTGTGGCTGAATCGAACCGCAGCGTGGCGGTAGAGCAATAGTAGGGGGAAGACGCAAACTGATTTCATAGGCAGCGATTACGATAGAATCTCGACTGGTTTGGAGTGGAATTTGAAGTGCAATGATGAGCCAGTGGCGGCAAAAGCAGACAAATCCCTCAAGGACAGGTGAAATGAAATTTCTTTATGCGCGTTGATTTTCAACCACGCATAAGCAACGAGCAGCTTCCGAGAAGAGAGTCGTTTGTACGTGTTAACACCGATAAATACGTCATGCCAAAAATCATCATGCTGATTGATAATGCAACACAGAGAAACTAGAGGATACGGCCGTTTGAGTGAAATGCTCTTTCAAAATAAAAAGTGAATGGCCAGCTGCTACAACTAGGCGAACCAGGCGAAGCGGTGAAAAGTTCAGGAACCTAGTGCTCTACAACTGTCACATCTTTATACGCGAAAACACCACATCCCACTACTTCAGCAGATATGTTGTTGGGAACTGTGCCCAAGAACGGCAAAATTTGTGAGATATTATCAAAATTTAAGATTTATAAGCCATGAGAAGGCCAAAATTGTTTAGCCATCAGGTTTTGTTGTCTGAATCGGCAGTAATAATATAAGGAAAAGCTTATTTGCACATATTTCATCGACAACATAACAATCAACGAGGTTTTGTAGTAGCTATGGTCGGCAAAGTTTGTGCATACACTTGCAGAGCTTTTGCGCAGGGGCAGTTGGAATTGCTTTCGTTAGGTAAAACATGTTAATTCCAGGGAAATCTTATTTTTGGGTTCTGTAAGCTCACAACTTTTGGTGCCAAAAAAACTTGAACTAATTGGATTTGCGTAATCTGAAAAACGAGAATTTTCGAGATTGGCCGGCGATTCCTCTTCAGCCGCACGAGCAGATTTAGGCTTGCTTCAAAGGTAATCAGCAAAGGTTCGAGACAAACAAGAATTCAACAGTTTCCTCGTGTGGTCTCATCGCTTTGTGACATACCTAATGACAGATGTGCTGCTGCTGCAGTTGCACCCTTTCTTCTAAAAAGCAAAAACAGCATCCCATTGTGTGGAAAGGCAACTGTACCCAACTTGAATATATGCATTACGGAGAAGACGCATTACGGGAGAAGTGCTTGCAAGTATTTGAAGAAACTTCTGCACACTAATCCAGATCTAGGTGACGCTTCTGATAGCAGCATACTACAGCACGTACACCTTTCGTTCCTTATCACAAACACTAGAGTTTCTCGCCCCCTGTAAAGGCATAAAGGTCTCTACCACCCTCCCACATCCAACACTGTTGTTGGAGGTAGTGTTTTTTGGCAAAGTGCTGGCCACTTTTTAGTCATTACTTCACAATGGTAGCATCCTGTCAGCGCACGCTCCTTTTCATTTTGGCCGCTGACCTCACACAGCACTTCATGCGCGAATGTTGTTTTCTAGAAGCGCGGACGGACACATCATTCGTCCATCAGTGGAATTAGACAAAATGTGCCGCGTACGATAAGTACGCCAAAGCTTCAAACATTGGCTAGGCAGTCCAGCGTAATCATTTGCTTCGGCTGCCCGTTTGTAACAAGTTAAAACTTGCAGCACAGATTATGTGTGACAAATCAATCTCATCTTTATTTATTGGTACTTAAAGCTGCAGATATAACAAATAATGTAACAGAATAAATGTACGGATTCGACTCCCTATATACACCTTTCGCTTGAATTCAATTAAATACCTATTGAGATAACGGGTTGTGAGAGAATCGTACTATAACACAAAGATGTTTCACTACAAACTACAAGCACTAATCTGAATATTTCATCCATGTCACTTCTCATTCTAGGGTTCTATTGCGGAAAAATTACTTGGTGTCTGTGTTGGTGGAGAAGGAAACGCAAACAAGTAACTATGTATTTTATACGTACTTCGATAGCGAGCTCAACTCGAAAAATGTTTCAGTAGCTTTACCGGTATTTCATAAATCTATATATCTTGCTATCCGTCTTCCTAATCTAGTTTCAGAATAATCTTTGCAGGCTTCAGTGACGAAGTAGACAGCCGCAACTTTGCTTCCTCTTTCATAGGATTCCCTGCCACATTCAGCTGAATCAGGGAAGGACAGGAGCTATACAAGCGATCAGCGTCTACATCTAAATTGTGATCATGAGTACGTATTAAGATAAGTACCAAAGAAATATAATATCATCGAAAAGACATTCGAGTGAAGACGACAGGCCTCCGGTGAAAATTTACAGTATTATAGTTAGAGTGTTCTCACTCATCATCGCTGAGGTCACATGTTACGACGAACTGCGCAGGCTCTCAAAACACAATCACAAAGCCGTGGGTAAAAACTTGTGGGGGATAACGGTGCAGGAATCACGTTGGCGGCATCTTGGTTGATCCCTAATGCTACGAACACTCATGTTGTAACGTTGTTTACGGGTACTGTTAGTACCTTGTCGGGTCATTCACCATGACTGGTATAAGTAGTACGATTCCTGTGCTGTGGAAGAAACGAGCAGCAATACCCAGGGCGCTTTTATAGCCTTCTTAAGCCATTCCACAGAAACAGCCACCCTTTCAAAAGGCCACGAGTTGATATGAATGTTTCTAGATATTTGCATGACTGCTAGATGATTCGTTTTGATGACCGCGTGATGAATGTGTTAAATGTTTTCGGCAAGAACAAGGCAGGAACAGCCCAGTGACCAGGAGTAACGACTAGTGTCATACCCTGGAGGCCGTGGATCCGATCCCTGCAGAGGCAAGAACCACGCCCTACAAAACTTGAAAAATGTCAGAGTGTCAGCGTTAGGCCGAGGTTGAAGGGTCAGCTGATGAACCCCGAGTCTGACAAAAGTTTATATGGGAATCAGTGATGATAAAGTGACGTCACCCGGAAGTCGCGCGCGGAACACTTTCCTATGGTCAGCATGTGAAGTATCGAGAAGAAAACAACCTCGGCTAGTGAAGCTAGTTCGAATTGGGACTCTAACGTAAGATCGCTAACTGGGAAGTCCCGAGAGGTTGCTGATCTGATGACGCGCAAGAAAATCCAATTCTTATCCCTACAGAAGAAACGATGGGAAGTAGCTAAGGCTAGGAAAATTGAGGAAGGCGTAAGTTCTATGTAGTGTGAGGTACGGAAAATACCGTACGTCCACGCACCACAAGCGAGATGAAATCGTAGGCGCTGGGCAACTCAACAAGGCGTTTAGAGGTGCTGAGTTGCCGCCACCTCCACAGACATGGCACCTCCACCCATTAACACCTTCACGACATCGCGTGTTTTGACATTTTGCACCGCGTGGGACAGGAGGGAGTCTACGAACACGCCGTCTTCACTTACTTCCGCTTACTTTGTTTGGAAAGTACAAAAATTTGAATCTCTATATAAATGGCAGTAGATTTTTGTTCAGAAGAACGCATAATGACCACGAAGAAGCAAAAAACATCACTTTCGCTGCGAATGAAGTTAAAAGCATTTATACCTAAGTTCTTCCATCAAATACAAATATCTTGAAACTCACAGAGTTTTGTATTAACTGCTTCTACAATCTTTCATATGAATGTTTACGACAGTGAAAGGAATACTAGGAAAGAATTGAAATGAAAGTTTTGTGCGTTCAGAAAATCTTTGCTAAATCAAGGGATATTTGACCACTCTGGCTGCCATGTGGTTTATAGTTATGCTAATGTATTATCTATAGAATGAATGCAAAAAAACCGAGAAGAAGGGGTGCAAGCACTATAAAATGACATAATTCTGTCGTCAACGTGTTAGGGGACATATTCATTAGTCTGCGCCCTACTTTCGACTTCAGCAAACACAACGGATTGCGCGAGACTAAGGCTAAAAAGAAGGAAAAGAAGCTCATGAGTGAGGGCGATATCCACTTTTCTTCGAAAGATCTCTAGAAGCTCTTTACAGCAAGCGAAACAAAGTTAGAAAATGCTTGATAAAAAAGCAGCAGAGATCCCTTCTCAAAAGCCATGATTATCGCAGTATAGCTAAGTGGGCAGTATGAGTAGCGAAAAGCTGTGACATGTCGATGCGTATTTGGTTATAAGCTACGTAACGCTGATGGCCACCTCGAGAACAGAGTCCCGCACAATCTTTGTGATCAACTATTCCCACAATGAAGACCTGTTTTACCATGCGCAGGAGGGGGTTGCCTATTATAAAATCGTCAAATTCGTATCGTGCGAGGGGGCGGCGTCGCTCAGTGACTTTGTCCGGCATCTCTCAAATCTGGGATGGACCCGCTTGTTTCAAAAAATTCTGCAAAGTCCTTGCACAGAAATATGAAGGATAAAAAAGTTGGAGCTGCTTACCTTCAATGAGGTTTCCGGACAGGTCGAGAATAGCGAGGTGCTTCATATTGAATATTCCTTCTGGGACTGATGTCAGCTTGTTATTCGCCGCATTCAGCCCCTTCATTGAGGTCAGCTCTTCGAATTCCTGTGGGAATTCAGTAATTTCATTTCCTTCAATATTGAAAACTGAAATCGCACATTATTAAATTTCTTGACATTTGAAGATGCTACTATTGAGTGTCAAAAGCGTTACAAATGAATTAAACTGACTGGTAAGGTTCGGAAATTTGTTGATAATCTTCTTCGGAAATTTCTTCAGCGCATTATTCCTCAAGCTCACCTACGAATATTCAAATAAATTGAAGACTAACCGAGAGTAACGGAACAATATAGGTATTGTACTACATACCCTCGTAATTTCGAATCCTTTTAGTACGAGGTAAATCGCATCGGCTATGTACATTAACGAGCAGGAGGAGAGGTCTGAAATCCAATCACTCATCACCCTTCCATTATTTGCATGCATGTCGTCATGTCATAAGTATTATACTTTTCGCGTCTGTACAAATGCTTTATTCGTTTTTCCTTCCCCTTTGCCATTCATCAGCTTCTGCAGTTTTTGGCCTGGAAATCCATTTTCAATCCATTTTCATGAAGCATGACATCCAAAAAATTAAAATTTCTGAATCATGCCGACAACCCCCCCCCCTCGCGACCTCTTAAAAAAATGCGAGCAAAGCTTCGACGATTTCACTTGCGCTACAGGGCCTCAAAGGATACAAGCAAATACAGCTGATATCCACGGGAGACGTAGTGTTTTTTAGGACCACGTCATTCCATAGAATCAGGAACACTATGAGTTAAACCACGAGTGCTTGAGCGAAAAAAACAGCGCAGCTCTAAACTTGGCTAGGAATTTTTAAGACCACGAGTTGCACATGAACCCTTAGGTGCACACAAACTCTTTTGTTAGGGGAATGAAAGATAAGGTGAAGTTCACGTGACTTTGCCCATCATACCGCTTCTACGGCTTTCTGCAATTATGGTGGTGCAACGGAAAATCCACAGGAACTAAGAATTAGGCACGATTTCTTATTGTGTATAAAACGGTGGCGTTTCTGCCTCAAAAATTGGTTCGCAGCTCTGAGAAAAAAATGTACCAGGCCCCTCATTATTAGGGCATGCGCATCTGTGGTTCTGGTGGAGCAGCAACTATCAAATAAGCAACTAATGATGGCCTCAGTCCGTTGCGTACCACATGCTGCTATGTGCAACACGCTAATTCGCCTCCGTATGGCGGCGTGCTGCGCATGGTGCAGCATCGTTTTTTATAAGAATGTATGCAAAAAGGCGGCACCGTCTGAGCGTTGGTCTGAACGCTTGAAAAACAGAAATGGATTAAGCTAAACCGTTTTTTGTAAATTTTCTGTCTTCATAACGTCCATCAACATACGGAGTTGCCACAAATCACAGCGGCAAGGTTAAGTGGCCATGAAAAATCTCCCAACTAAAAAAAGGTGAGTGGAAAACCAAAGTATATTCATTGAAGGCTATAAACGAAAAACCATGTGATCTTCCAAGTAGCCACTACCCCTTCAAAAAGGGGAGGGAGGTTTTCAAGTGAATGAGCTGACCGCGGCATGTTGATAGATGAACTTTGTGCGTTTCAGACATTATGAAGCAGTTTCTTGAATCCATCGATTTTGCTTCCATGATGTCCGTGCTTGTCTTCTCAACACTTCGTCACACTAGGCAAGGGGTACAATGAGGAACATTAGTGAGGAGAAAAAGCAAAAAGCACCATAGAAAACACTAAATTTCCCTTAGGAGGCCGGCCGTAGTACGACGGAGAGACACAGCGCTGCGAGGAGAGGGAGAACGCGAGATAGTACGTCGTACGCGAGAGGACGCAGAGACCACGTATGCCGTGGTGGATTACGCTGGCAGCGCGGCAGCACACAAGCAGGGCTTAGCGCCATTGCCTCGCACTTTTGAGTCGCGACAGTGTCGCGCCCTCAGTGCTTGGGGAGCCCACCATCGCACCCTGGGAAGAACTTCTGCTGGTTGCCTAATCCTGACTCGTAGCTTTAAAGTGGACACTTTTCAAAAGCACTGATTTCTAGGCACTTCAACTGGCAAGAACTTCGCGCAAATGTCGTCGTGTATCCTGATTCTACTGAAACGTTCACTGATCAGTTATTTCTTGTCACGATTCCCTTGGTTCCAGGACATGTTTGTATGAAAAGGTTCGAGACAATCCTCACCCTTCACTTTATGCCTTGTGGAACAGAAACCGAAGGAGTGGTAGTTTCGGTGTGATCATCGCAAAACTTTCACTGTTTCCGGCTTTGATTATGTCTGAGATGTTAGGTTTCGGGATGTCGTAAAACGCAGTTTCTGGTTCTACCTAATCAAGATCAGATCAACTGTGAATACTTTCCCATAAGTGAAAATCGTCAATACATAATTGAGACAACTCAACTGTCCAGCTCCACTTTCTCTCCAGTGGACCCGCCTCACTGAAGAAGTGAGCCTTCCCACGCTTACGTGCCTTCGCTGTGTGATTTTGATGATTACTTGCCAGTAAATGCATATGATCACCGGAGACCAACAACGGGGCGAATGTGCTATGGTTCATCGCAGCCCGGTGCCTCAATTGTTCTTGGTAACAACAGAAGCTTCTCTTTCACGTCCAATCGTTATTAGTTCCGAATCGGCTAGTCATCGCAATGGTGGGTTTTGAAGGTTTCTAAAGCCACTGGTTCGCTTTGCAAAGTTACATCACCTGATATCTTGACGAAACATGCGAGTCATTAGTTCATGAAGAGCTAAGCTTGTACAGTCAAAATTATATAACTTCTGAATGGTTAGATTAAAGAACGAACAACTTATCAATAGGAGCAAGAACGCAACCGGGCCCTTGGCGGGCCTTCCTTCAAACGTTGGGTCCCGCCACTTTCAAACAGTGTTAGATCAACAAGTGTTAAACAACCTTCGACTCGCTGGCGCAACGCTTCCAGCGATTCACTAGCGAATTGTTTGATTCGCAAAGTATGACATCGGTCTCACCGTCTTTACTAGATGATAATAGTTAATTCCACCGATCAAATCTCTACATGGATATTTAAACCAACACACATATGTATGGTGTATATATAACAGATGCAGATGATAGAAATGAAGTTTTCGTAAAGAATACTCGGTTTTGAGGGGCCATAACTCAACACTCTTGTGAAATTTTTGTGAGGCGGACTGCGGCCAAAAACAGCGGTTATCAATCAAAACAAATCAGAATAGCTATATTTAACGCGCAGTCCGTTGCAGCGGGTCTAAAAAGACGCCAGCCAGCGAAAAAAAAACGCCGGAGCGCAAAGGCTTGACTTCCTTTCTACTTATTGAGTATTAGGTACTGTGAGGTTGGTGCTAGAGAAACGTGGAGCAATTTAGCTTAGCTGCTGCAATTTTATAAGCTGAAGGCTGCAGCAGATTTCCGAGCAGGCTCTGTATTTACTCATACGCAAGCATGCTGAGTATTATGAGTGTGACGCTCAAGCTTCTTCAATAGCATCCAGTTCACTCAGGTGGAAAAAGAAGTTTTGAAATCCACACGCGATAGAAGAGTGAAGAAATTGTATCTTTACTGAAGTAGGCGAACTTGGAAAGATGAGTGCCATTATTCCTGTCATTATTTCCAAAACATTTCTTCGTTTCTCGACTTCCTCTCTCCTCTCTCTAAGAGCATTGGCACTAAGCAACCATTGTTCTCCATCACCCATCTAATTCTTCCTACAATAGGCGATTAGTTACCAATCAGTGATCTCATCGCCCCTCAAAAACACCGCATGTAGTACAATAGTGACCAGCACCGGGGTCTGCTGTATCCTCGCGGTACACGAAAGAGATGTCAACGATTTTGAATCGAACGACGATCGAAGATGATATCAAAATCCGCTATTACTGCCATCGAGTAGATATTTAAACCATGTGCTCCCACAATATTGAGTGGGAATGGAACGCGTGGCGCAACCTGACGAAATGATCAGTGATGACGTTTTGGGGTGATTATTTGGGGCAGCGCTTCTAAATGCCGTTCACATGGAAGGCTTGAAGTGATTCTCCTTGAATCCATTATTGATCTATGTCTATACAAGGATGATTTTAAGATGTTCTTTCTTAACACATTCACGCCGATGGCCGCCCATATGGGCTGCCAACAACATGCGCTCCTGGGACGATGGCAGCCCATATGGGCTGCCAACTGATAATCGCTTGCCAGGCGCTAGGAATGGACAGATAGGTGGGCAAACCTCGTAATCGAGTGTAAAATGCTTTTAAATTCCTTCACGGGGAAAGTGAATAAATGCTCTCTTTTCGTAACCACTATTTGTCGTTCTGATCGAAATCCTACTGTTATATGTTTAGATAATCTTTACGCATTGGACATTGCAGAAATTATTTTGTGACATTCATGTTTTTGTTCATTTACAAAACAAAATCTGCGGTTATGTGGTGAGGCGGCGGCGCCCACAAAATCGCGTCCGTCCCACGCGACCGAAAAGTGGAAAAGGGGCGTCGTCGTGAATGTGTTAATAATTCATCATACAAAGGAAGAATTAGAAAGCGTACCGAGAAAGCCAGATTCCTTGGCCACTTCGCACCTGTCAATAACCTGAGTGACACCACGACCCGCCGACAGAGGAAACGCCATCGCTTTCCGAATACCGTTCTGAAGGGTGAATGTTAAAATGAACGCAGTGACTTTTCAAGCATCGTAAAAACATCTGAAATCCATTCGCAAGTACAAGTTCGAATCGAGCAAGGCTAACTTCGTTGTCTAGAAGAGACATTTCTCGCGTTCTTTGTCCGTGTTATCTCATGATGTTTTGGTCAAAAAATTCGAATTCTTTCTCAGTTCATTATTATGTACCTACGGCATTTTGATAAGCTCTTACTGTACCATTCGCTACCTTCGATACTCCACTTAATAGGATAAAACCGCTCTCCGTTATTTTTGCAAAATTTTGAGTTTTCATTAGGTGGTCTCTTAAAGAAGCTGGAAAGAACTCCCGTTCTTTCAGCTTCTTTGAGAGACCACCTAAGACTAGGGGTTTCATTTGATGGCACCGCATACCTCCAAGTTTGGAGGAAGCTCATCGCATTTGGCTTGGAAGCAGCAACTAGTTGTTGTCAAGAATGGATTCGAGGACACTTTGTTAAGAAGGGAGTAGTGGGAGATCGCTATGCCAAGTTGAGGTGCGGAGCCGCACACAAGGAATCGACACCTCTTTGGAGGAACTAGCATGCACAATAAATACACGTATAGAGGACCGATAGAACAGTCATTTTAGATGTTCATGTACCAAGTTCCAGAAGTCCAAAGTCAAAAACTGGACCACCAGAAAGATTGTTCGCTTTCTCGTCGTCCACAGGGGATGTAGGTACATATGTATTGTGCAGGAACGTAATATAATACATAGCGCTTGAATTCGACGCAAACGTTCGTAGCAAAATGTATAAAAATATAATAAAAATTAATCAGTGATGCCCTCTTTGCCATTATGGACGACCTCAAATCCATTCCGCAGAAAATTACCTGCTTTGAAAAGGGTTTCAATTACGAAAAAAGGTATTTAGCCCTGTATCTCCTATTCTCGTTGGTACGCCATGAATATGGTTCAAAATTGAACGAGAGAGGTAGGATCGTGTGGAGCGCGGTTCGATGAGGACCGAGGATTCGAAATGAGCCATTTTGGCAGCTTTTTCTTTAAGTAACTCGGTAAATAGCAGCTGTCAAAATGCAGATTTCTGCCGCCTGGATCTTCCAACTTCTAACACTCTATATAAGAACATTTATAATATTGAAGAAGACAAGAAGGCATAGTAGAAGGGAAAAGTACCTCTACATGATACATGCAGTCTACTGGGTAATACTCGTATTTCTTGAATCTACAATGAATTTATACGCTTAAGAAAACCATATGATATTAAGTTCCAAATTTCCTGCAGACATAGAACCGTAGGGCGGAAGTGGTGTAGTGGCAAGTGGCGCGCTCACCACGCGAGCGGTCCGGGGATCAAATCCTGGGTCGTGAGTCGCCCGGGCCAACCAAGCCTTCCATCCCTCCGGGGTCGGTTAATTGGTACCAGACTTGTCTGGGAGGATAAAAACACTGACTTGTACATCGGCTGGCCCCGCAAGTCATTGTATAGGCCACATCGCATTCAAACGCCACTACGAATGTACAAATGGAAGTAGAATGCGTGCCGCATCCCAAACGGGATTGATCAACGGCAAATGCTTTATCCTTTTTTATCGAACCGTGAATCAATGATCAGTATCATACTGTGATAGCATTGATTACAGTGCACCGAAAACTGTCGGAACAATGCCCATCAAAGCGTAGAGAAGATATAAGCTTTCTGGATAGTGGTGAATTAAAAGGACATTTGATTCTATAAGGTCAAGTAACCATCGCTGCGTTCGACGTACAAATAATACAGGTGCTGCTTCTGTCGCTTTTTTTCATCCTTAGAGCATCACCTTCACCCCCAGCAAAAGTCGCGTCGAAGAATCTATCAAGTGGGTGGGATAGAATAGCCCACATCTGGCATAATGTGCCATTGTCGCGACTCGAACGTACGCGACGGTGGCGTTAGGGTCTTTCAAACTCAGCGTTTGGGGACTAATCTTAGCGGTTGGACGAGTTACCTCGCACACATAGCGGATTACGACTGTGGAATTACGACGTAGCGGAAAAGATAGCCGATAAGTAGATAGATATGATAGATGCATCGCTTTGATGCGATTATGTCCAAGAAGCACGTCCGGACACGTCCTTTCCACGCCCTCCTTGTAACCTTTCTCAATTCGATCTGAGGTTGTTAATTTAACTCCAAGTGCAAGTGCCGTTTCGTACCCCAGCTGGTTCAGTTATCCAGGATTGATTGTGACATGTGAGCCCGAGCCACCTCGCGGGGATGAGTCGACTTCTTTATGATGACAAATCCTGTATACATCGGTTGCAGTTTCCGCTGTAATTTTACACATCTACGAGAGAGTGTAAGTTCAGTTTGGGGGAGGACACTCCATTGTGCTTTCCAATACTAAGGATAATGCTAAGTGTACAGTCGAGATCCGTAAGTTGGGGTAGGCGTGTCACCGGAAGTGACGTGGACTTGATAGAAGTTGCGTAGGTAAGTCGTTGCCAGCATGCTTTGCTGATATCTCGCGATGTATATTGGAAGCAGCTTATCCACATAGATTCTATCAAGTACACGTCACTTCCGGTGACACGCCTACCCCAACTCACGGATCTCGAGTATATTTATGACCGTAAGATTCATTTAAAATCACTCCGATAAGAACCGGTGCATGTAGAAATATTTTTAGCGTGCGTTCAAATTTCTTCCTGCTTTGGTTCAATGAAATGGTCCTGAAATAGGGTTGGACATCCTTTACTCGACACAACGGTGTAGGAGCTCAGGATGGAGATCACATGATTGACTTCATCATCGGCTGGCTCGTGTGCGGCAGGCTGTACTGTCCCGCTTTCAACCACTTGGTATTCCTACAGCTTGGTCTGAACTCTGTTCAACTTTCCTGGTCTTAAGTTGCTGCGTTGCTCACTGTGGCACGTGAGTCCCGTAATCTACTTCAAGTGCCACCTTTAAAGGTATATATCCCTTTTGTTTCTTCATTGCAAGGCACCGGTAGCGTTCGCCGTGACAGGTGCCCGATTCGATTAGTAGATTTTTGACTGTTGATCTGTATTTTGCGATGGAGCTGAGGAGTGCTACGCAAGGAACAAGCTGTGCTGTCGTGGGAACGACGGAAGTGCTACTGCCTAAAGAGCTCCAGGACCAAGTCATGGCCATCACAAATTCGAGCCGTATTGCCGATGGAATCAAAAGAGTGATCTCGGCGATCACACGCGAGCTCCACTCCCTGCATCTGGAAAATAAAGGACTCAGGCAAGAGCTTGATACGCTTCGAAATAAGCTACCTCAGGGCTTGCCGCTCGCTACGAGTGACAATGAGGTGCCGGTTGCTAGGCGTTCAGGGACTTCTGATAGGAGTCTGGCTCCCGGTGAGGGAGAGATTCCCTATCACGAAGTTGAGAGGCAGCGTTCTCTAATCATTAGTGGCATACCAGAACTTAGGTCTCAAAAGTCTCGTGAACGTGTGTCGTATGATTTTAATAGTGTCTGTAACATTTTGGATTATTTGAACGTTGATTGCAATCCACTCACCGTGTACCGTTTAGGCAAGCCTCAAGCAGGCAAAGATAGACTGATAAAGTAGTCTTGCCAGCACGTGTATTCCAACGTTTGGCTTTACGGAGAGCCTCACGCCTCCGCTACTACTCTGGCCGAGGGGTCTACCTCAGGGAGTCCCTAACGCTAGAGCAAAGGAAGCGGAGACGGGAGGCAAGGGGCAGCATGTCCGGGGAAGGGGTCGGAGCGTCACTACTGTTCAGGGTGGTACGTCACCACCCACCGCTCCGATCCCGACCAGGAAGCCAGTCACTCCATTAGTGTGGAGGAAAACTGAAGGAAGGCTCCCCGGTATGTTCGTCCGATACGACTCTTTTATTCCAAATGTGAGATCAGTCTCTAACAAGCTAACTTTTTGCGAATAATTCTGGCCAACGATTACGATATCTACGCTCTTTCGGAGACGTGGTTAAAACCTAGCCACACCTTAGCGTCCCTCATCGGGGATGTTCTAGATAATTATAATGCATTTAGATGTGATCGTCCCAAGAAGCCTGGAGGAGGCGTCATTCTTTTTGTTCAGCGTGAGATTTCTGTAGCTCTAGTTTTTTCCGAATCAATCGCGAATTCCTTCGAAATACTTTGCGTGGATGTATATTGTGAAAGCAGCATCCTTAGGATAATTGTGGTGTACAGAGCGCCTTCCTGTCCCAAAGAAAATTCATTGCTCCTGGCAAAAGTCCTTAGTGACTTAGTTGCGTGTGACCAACATAGCGTGATTGTAGGAGATTTTAATTTACCAGAATTTTGCCACCAAAACGATTTTCGTCCTGAGTCATCTACAGTGGCCTTCTTTAAGGAACTGACACAGTGTCACAGGCTTGTACAACATGTCAGGGAGCCCACAAGAGGTGATAACATTCTAGATTTAGTGTTCTCTAGTGCGCCGCACCTGATTAGAGGCCTGAAGGTTGCTGCTCCTGTAGGATTAAGTGATCACAATAGTATCGAGTTTGATATTAAGTGCATGCAGTCCCAGCCTACCTACGTTTATAGACGTATGTATTCTGACTGTAATTTTGACGCACTCCGCTACCATTTAGCCCAAATACGTTGGGTTCCCCTATTCGAATCAAAAAATAGTGTTAATGATAAGTATGAGCTATTCCTATCTATTCTGCATGCTGCAATTGATCAGTATGTCCCATGGAAGAAAGTCCCATGCGTTAAATCAATTCATCTTCCCATGCATCTACAAAATATGGTGGAACATCGAGAATGTCTTTTCAGCGAAGCTAGACGTTTGAATAGCTGGGATGAATACAGAGCTTTCACGCAAAAGTTTTACAAGCATCTCAAGAGGTACAATGATTATGTGGAAAGAAAAATCATTGACTCCGGTAATGTTCGCTGCTTTCTATAGGTACTTGAGTAAAAGGACTAATGATTCGAAACGTATCGGTTGCTTGAGAACAGGTGACAGGGTCGCAATCTCTTCTATCTGATAAAGCGAATATGCTAGCCGATTACTTTGAAGGTGTTTACCAAGAAGACGATGGAAATGAGCCTATTCCCTTGCCCTGATGTACAGCCTATGAAGGATTTCCCCTGGTTCACGGCCTCCGCTTTGTTCGACCTCATTAAAAAATGGCCTGGTTCCTCTTCTGTCACCCCCGATTTCCTCCCATTCTTTGTTATACAGAAACTAGCGCCTGTGATATGTGGGCCTCTTGCTTATATATTTAACCAGTCATTAGTTTTCGGTGAGGTCCCTTCGCGCTGGAAACATTCTTTTGTTACACCTATACTTAAAAAAGAGCCTTCGTGCAACCCAGAAAATTATCGGCCTGTGAGCATTACGTCCCTGTTCTGTAGGCTATTTGAGAAAGTCGTGAAGGGCCACGTCAATCACTATTTAACACTTAATCGTGTAATTTCGGAGCAACAGCATGGCTTTATTCCTGGGCGGTCTGTAGAAACAAATCTAATTGAAAGTCTCAATGACTGGACTGAAACGCTTGATAAAAAAGGGTGTTGCGATGTCATTTATTTTGATTTCGCGAAAGCGTTCGATAGAGTCTCACACAA